GAAATGCAGGCAGCATCTAGAAGTTGGAAAAGGCAAGGAAGAGATTATTCCCCTAGAGCCTCCAGAGGGAATGCAATTCTGCCAACACCTTGATTTCAGTCCATGAGACCCATTTCAGACTTCTGACCTTCAGAACTGTAAAAGTTCATGTTGTTTTAAGTTTTTAAAAAATGAGTTCTCATCTTTGAGAGATACTTTCTAAAATGTCCCCAGATGATATGATATCTGGTATTTGCCTCAAAATAATTTTGAAAATTGGGGAGTAGGTGGTGATATAGATGAAACGAGATTGGCTATGGGGTAATAATTGGTGAAGCCAGGGAATGAATCTGTGGTGGCTCTATATACTATTCTCTTTAAGTTTACATAGGTTCAAAATTTTCTGTAACAAAATACTTAAGAAAGAGAGAAAACAAAAAACAAGGAGAGAAATCCATCTCTGGTGCTGTAGGTCATAATCTGAGAAACAAATATGTGATTGAATGAAGAGGGTCAGTTAGATAGTAGCTGACCGATTCTGCAGAACCATTTTCTATGCAGAAATAAATCCATGGGCCACCCTTGAAAGTGGGTTGAAGATTCTGGGGCCTGTAGACATGGTATGTCATTTGCATGTTTGAATATTCATGAACTCAACAAAGAGGCGTGTCCTCAGTAGACCTCAATACCCCTCAGCCTCTGTGGCCTCTTGACAAGCTCTCTCCCTCCCCTACACAGGAAGGCAGCTTTGTTGGACCACTCTCATCCTTTCAGACATTAACCTCACCGATGGCATGGTGACGGCTCAGAGATTGGAGCAGGGTCATTCTCCATCGTGTAACTCCAGAGACATATTTGAACATGGGAAAAAGGAAGATTTTAGAAGTCTCCAAGATAACAATGAGCCCTTGAGAAGAAAAGCAGGGACATGGTCTCGGAGCCACGGAAGCCAGATGAGAAATATTTTCTTATAAGATGAGGGAGAAGTACCAGGCCACCTTTCCCCTGCTAGGAGTGAATCTCTTGGCGTGGGGCAGACCTGGTGAAGAGGGTAGGAGGAGACTGCAAGTCACCCCCTGCCCCAGGATCTTGAGAGAAATATATTCTGGGGGTTGGAGACAGAACCTCAGGATCTGTTTCGGGGCTCTCTGCTCCTACCCCATTGTCTTTGGGAAGCTCTGCCACCCCAACAACTGGGGACCCTGGCAAGCCACTTGATCTGCAGTGATATAGGCATAGTACTGCCCACCTCACAAGGCAGACGATTGAGGCATCATTTCATGGACATATTTTTCTTTTTTCTTTTTCTTTTTTGAAACAGAGTCTCACTGTGATACCCAGGTTGGAGTGCAATGGCACAATCTCAGCTCACTGCAACCTCAGCTTCCTGGGTTCAAGCAATTCTCCTGTCTCAGCCTCCGGAGTAGCTGGGACTACAGGTGCGCACCACCACACCTGCCTAATCTTTGTACTTTTAGTAGAGATGGGGTTTCACCATATTGACCAGGCTGGTCTCAAACTCCTGACCTCAAGTGATCTGCCCACCTCAGCCTCCCAAAGTGCTGGGATTACAGGGGTAAGCCACCACGCCCGGCACATGGACATATTTTTCTGAGCTCTGGCTTATTCCTGTGGAATTGACTGATCAGTTAAAAAATGAAAAGGTACATTTCCTTCCTATCCTCACAGGGAGGGCCTGCAGTATCCCTGAGCTTCCCTCACTCAGGAGCTCATGCTGGAGGTCCTTGGCTCTCTCCTCTCCTCCCCAACACAGAATTGTTCTTTGTGCCTGTCTAACTCACTCTATACACAGGCCAGGGTGGTTTTTCTGGCCTGGCTCCTCTTTGTGGCCTTGGGAGCGATTTGGGCCTCAAAGAATTGATGTCGATCTCTGCTGCTCTTCTTTAAAGCTAGTGAATAAAGCGACCCCCATTAGAGGTGCCTGAGTATACTGACATCTCTTTCTCTCAGTCATTTACAAGTCGGCCGTTGCTTTGGCACTCTGGCACTCCATTGCTCACCTATCTCCTTGGTCCCCTGGACTATCCTTCCTCCTCCTCATCTCTCTGATCCTGGCTGTCCTCAAGCTCCAGCTAGAGCCTCACCCTGTCCAGGGAGCCCTCACTGATTGCAAGCCCACACAGACACCCTCCTTCTCCTTTACATATTGTGTTCACTTCCTCTTTCTTTGCTTCACACATCCCAAGTAAGATTAACCCAGACAGAAAGGAGCTCCAAAAAATACTTTTCTTTTCTAAATCGAGAACCAAATGGATTAAATCAAGCATAACAGCATGGGCTGAGGAAGGATAACTTTGATGGTACCTGATGCTTCTGAAGAGCATTTCCCATTTCAGTTCATTAGACTGATCTTAAAGCCCCAGAGGAGGAGCACAAACCAGCACCCTTCTCTCTCCCTTGCCTTTCCCTCCCTTCTAGGGCTCCTCTGGCTCAAACAGCAGTGGATCCGGAACAGTATTCAGGGCCACGCCCTGTAGATTCCTCATCCTTTGCTTCTCAGCACCCTGAGAGGTAGTCAGAGTGTCCCCATTTCACAGATGTGGTAACTGAGGCACAAAGAGACCAAGTATCTTACCCCAAATCACTCTGGTAGACAGTGACCCAGCCAGCAGCGGAACAGGCATTCTGCCTCTAAAGCCTACACATGCAGCCTACCCCTTGCTGCAAGAAATAGCACAGCCACCAGGGGCTGTGCCTGGGAGAGTGCTCCTGGGAGCAGACCCAGAAGGGCAGGAGCGTACTGACCCTGTTGGAAGACTAGACAAAGAGGCAGACAGAAACTGAGTGAAACCAGCTGAATTAAGTGCTAGATGCTCAGCTGACCAGGTCAGAAAAGTGAGGTCAGGTGAGCAGGAGTTATCCAGAGTGGTCAGAGGAGGGAGGAGTGGCAGGCTTGTGGTTCTTTGGGATGGACAAGAAGGACTGGAGAGGTGGGCAGGCCTCTGCCTCGAACATGAAGGGGCCATTCCAAACATGGCAGGGAGCCAGAACAGACTGGCCTCTGCTGTGTGCCAGGCACTGTGCTGGGCATTTGGCATAAACCATCTCAGGAGATTCAGCATAAAGGGAGAAGTTTGGGGAGGATGAGAAATCCAGTTATCTGGGCTGGATGGCATCAGAGAGCGTCAGAGAGCAGGGAGAAGACTTCAGACTAGTTGGAAGTGACCAAGGAATGGCCAGTTCGTTGCTTAAGCCTTTGACCAATGCTCCATTCTGGTAAGTCAGGACAAGGAAGCCCAGAGCATGGCTGGCCCTGGTGAGATGCCTTGCAGAACCCAGGTCAGACCCCATCCATCCTTGCAGAGGTGTCTTATTGCACCTTCAGATTAGAAGGACTGGGACAGGTTGCCCTGAGTGCCCAGCCAAGATGAGCCCTGGGCTGGCTAGGGAGGGACACAGAGCCAGTGCTTGTGTGAACAACTGATGACCTGACCATCCCAGAGCCAGACAAAGCAGCAGCGAGAAACGGGCCTGGAGCAGTGGCTCTCAACCAGGGCTGGTTTACCCAGCACCCACATCCCAGGGCCTTTGACAGTGTCTAGGAACATCTTTGTGTCTGGGTACCACTGGGATCTAGTGGGTAGAGGCCAGGGATGCCAGTAAACATCCTACAATACATAGGACAGCCCCCCACAACAAAGACTTATGTGGCCCAGAATGCCAGTAGCACAGAGGTTAAGAAACAAACCCTAGTCTAGGGAAACAGGGTGAGAAAGGCTGAAATCCAAGTCGCTGCCTGGGAGGAAGCTGCCTCTACCCTGAGGAAGAGACGTCTTCTCCTAATTCAGCCTGCACTGTGAGAATACATGTAAGCCCCAGGGAGGCAGCCTGGGGAAGGTGTTGCTAGAGGGGAAGAAAATGTTATCTGCTGTCACTTAGGCTGTGATTTGTGCAAAAAGCAATTTAAAAGGTAGTGAAAAAGAGGGTCAAAAAGTCAGCCCATGTGATTATGTCATCTCCTTGGTGGCAAATACAGCCATGTTAAACCACTATGACATACCCACGCAGGTGACAAAGGAGATGTGATCAAAGATTTTCATTGCAGTACTGCTTTTAATAGTGAAAGATCAGAAACAATATAGTTTGTCCATCAGGGGACAAGCTGGATAAGCAATGGAATACTCCACAAAATAATGGGGATACTTTGTATGTACAATTATGGAAAGGTCTCCAGAATATATTAAGTGAATAAAGCAAAGTCCAGAACACCGTGGAGTACTGTGCTGCCATTAGGTGAAACGGGAGGAAACATTAATCAACAGTATATTGCTTACATTTGCATAAAGCAGCAGTGGATCTCAAGGTTGATTGTGCATCAGAATCACCCAGAAGGCCTTTTTAGCCACATGCACTTCAAATAACATCAACCATTTTATGTATGTATATATGTATGCATGTATGTATGTATGTATTGAGCCAGAGTCTCACTCTGTCGCCCAGGCTGGAGTACAGCGGCACGATCACGGCTCACTACAACCTCCGCCTCCCGGGTTCAAGCTATTCTCCTGCCTCAGCCTCCCGAGTAGCTGGGACTACAGGCGCCCGCCACCACGCCCGGCTAATTTTTTGTATTTTTAGTAGAGACGAGGTTTTTACCGTGTTGCCCAGGCTGGTGTCGAATTCCTGACCTCAAGTGATCCGCCCCCCTCGGCCTCCCAAAGTGCTGGGATTACAGGCGTGAGCCATCGCGCCCAGCATCCTTTCTTTTATTTTTGGGAAAGACGTAGAAAGTGCCCCACTTTTCTCGCCCATAGTTGAACCGCGCAGCTTTCCTGACCCCAGCCACCACCGGCGCGAGGCTTTAGACAAAGGCCTGTAAGTGGCCTCTTTCCCTAATCACGCCAGTACAAACCCCAGGAGACTGTTTCCCAACCCTCGAGTGGCTGCTGAGTGTGAGAAGTTCATGGCGTTTGAAGGAAATCCCCAGGAGCCAAAGAGTTCGGCCAGCAAAGCAAACGTCCAGTCTCCCATCCTCTCCTCTTTCTCTGCAGGGGAAACGAACTGAACGTCAGAAACGAAAGTGGCGCGGCCTGGACAAACCTGACCCTTCGACATCCCCCGCCCCTGCGCCCGCCCTCGCTAAGCGGGGAGGGGCGACCGCTACAATGGATCCTCCCGCAGGCTTTGTGCGCGCTCGGAATCCAGCTGTCGCCGCCCCGCAGAGCCCCCTGTCCCCGAAGGGCGCTCATTTCCGGGCCGCCCACCACCCGCGTAGCACCGGCAGCCGCTGTCCCGGCAGAGTCTCCAGCCGTCCCGCCCGCTCGTGGCCAACTGGCTCCAGTCACTCCGCGAAATGCCCGTCGACTTCACTGGGTACTGGAAGATGTTGGCCAACGAGAATTTCGAGGAGTACCTGCGCGCGCTGGGTAAGCGCTGCCCGCTGCGCCCTGGGTGCCCGGCCGAGCAGCTCCGGGCCGCTCCCTAGAGCCCTACCGAGCCGCCGCCTGCCTGCCTCCGCCCCGGCGAGCCGCGGTCCGGTTACCCCCGAACGCCAGAAAGGGCGTCCTCGGCCACCGCTCCCATGGCGGCCCCTAGGCTGCGGATTGGAGAATTTGGGGTTGTTAGGTTAACCATGGCAAATGTCTGCTGTTTGGCCCTGGACGTGGGTAATTTCATTACTAAATCTGTGGCTTGGTTTGCTAGTTTTTGTTTTTAAACGGCTGACATAAGAGCAGAAAACTTTGTTGGGGGCGGCGCGGGGAGGCACAGGCAGGCTGTGCGCAGAGACAGCGCAAAGCCAGCGGGAACCCTAACAGTGTTTGCGGGCGGAGGGGGCTCCTGGGGTCCCGCTACCTTGGGAACGGTTCTCTTGAGTTTTCCTGCCAACTCTCTGCCGCTCGCTCTCCTTGCTCCCCACCCGCAGACGTCAATGTGGCCTTGCGCAAAATCGCCAACTTGCTGAAGCCAGACAAAGAGATCGTGCAGGACGGTGACCATATGATCATCCGCACGCTGAGCACTTTTAGGAACTACATCATGGACTTCCAGGTTGGGAAGGAGTTTGAGGAGGATCTGACAGGCATAGATGACCGCAAGTGCATGGTGAGGATTCGCGTGCACCCAGTGTCTCCTGCCCAGGGGGCCTGACCAAGGGCTGGGCTAGCTCATCCGAGAGGGAGCAAGGGCCTGAGGGACTGAAAACACTTCCCCCTCTCAGCCCCCATGGTGGGCAGCACCAACTCATGAAGCATCCTGCTCTATCTGCACTGGAAGGTGATGGTTATGAAGGCTGCCATGTGCTGTGTCTCCACTGCGTTCAGGCACTCTGCCCGGTGCTTTATGCACATGACTTCACCTAAGCCTCACACAGCCTTTGAGGGAGATATGAATATGCCCATTTTATAGATGAAGAAACAGTCTCAAAGAGATGAAGTAACATGTCCAGAGTAGCACAGCTAGGGAGGGGCTGGAGTTCAAAGCAGGTCTGTTGATGCTGTTCTCTGGCTGGCTATGAGCTGGTGGAGGGTAAAAGGAAAGAAAGGAGGAAAGAAAAAAGAAACACAAGTAACCCCTTTGAAGTATAAACTTTCAATATGACCTAGTGTGAAGTCACTCCAGGAAGCTGGGGGCACCTTGATCTCTGCTGGAAGCCCTCTGATCTGCCCATCCTTGCCCCAGAGCTGGGATTTGGCTCCCGGCCATCCCCTTCCCCACCCTGTCATCCAATGCCTGCTGAGCATTCTTTGAACTTTACGGCTGACACCTAGTCAGTAAGTCAGTGCCCCTCCAGCCCAGGCCAGAGGAAACAGCAGTGGGGGAAAGGGGAGGGCCAAGACCTCCCTCCCACAAGGGTGAGAAGCTCCTGACCCAGGACATCGCAATTAGTACTGCCACAGCAGACTCCGGAAGGCCAGCCCCAGGCCTCCATCAGCATTATCTGGTTGCTGGGAGGTCAAGGTACTCTTGTTCTCCTTTTTATCGTCTTGGGTTCAGAACTGGCTTATGTTCATCCCAGGAGCCGCCTTGCTTATTGATGGGGTCCTCACCCATCCCCTCCCACCATTTTCAAGGGTCTTTACCGCTGGTCTGCTGTGTGTCCAGCACTGTGTTAGTCATCTTACAGCACAGCACAGTGAGGGAGGGATAAGTAACCCCATGTTATGCAGTGACTGAGGTTCAGAGAGAGGAAGAGACTGGTAAGAAATGAGACTTGAGCCCTGGGCCTTCTGATGTTGAAGCCCACACTCCTGCTTTCTGCCAGCTTCTCTGCTGGTAGTCTGTGCAGAAACAAGATAGCTGAGGCCTGTTAGGATTGTAGTTGAAGGGATGCCCATGTCTGGGAATAGGTGTCTGGAGCCTGGATGACTCATTCCCCCACCTTGTCTATTCATCTGAAGGCAGTCAGGACTGGTATCTGAGTCTGCTGTTTGGAATGATAGGAAAGAGGGGGTAGTCAGCAGGGAGTGGCCTTGGAAGGACCACTAATGGGAGAAAGCACCATTGTTGTAGGGAAATGTCAGGTTGTGCCTTTAAAAATCTCAAGGACTCTTGAGAAAGGAAAGACTCACAATAGGAAAGGAGACCTTCAGATGGGATCTGCCTTTCTCATTACTGCCTAAGACCTGCTCCCTGGCACACCTCATAGAACTTTGCCCCTTAAGAATAATCCTTACCCCACTCACTATTGTGGAACTCACAGATCACATCGAACCTTTATTTTGGGTCACCACAAATCTGGCGTGTGCTGGCTTGTACTAATTATCTTCGCTCTTTCCTTCCTTTCCTCATCCTTTAACGCATGAAACATTTATTGATCACCTAATAATACTAGCAAATATAGTACTCATCAAGTGCTTACTGTCATGCCAGATGCTATTCAAACGTTACATTAGCTGACTTAATCTTCACAACACCCTTTCCAGTCTCATTTTACAGATAAGAAAACCACGGCAAGATTTCTTGCTATGTGACCTTGGGGAAGTGCAGAGGGAGGATTTGAGTTAACCACTGCACTGAACATACTGCTTCCCTCACAGGCTGGTCACCACGGCAGGCACAGGACAGCAGAGCATGTCACAGGCCCTGATGTCCGGGAATGCAAAGTCTTTGCAGTGGAGGCAGGCACACCAACACTCAACACAGTGTGGCAAAGAGAAGCACAGGGTGCGAGTGAGGGCATTGGGACTACCCAGAGAAGGGGATCCCAGAAGGATTTCTAGAAGATGTGACTTCTGTGCTTCATTTTAAATAAAGCAGGGAGGTTGAAGGGAGGGTTTTGGATACAAAGGAAAGGACGAGGGCCACCTTTTCGTCTCAATACAGCATCAGCGTCAATCAAGTATCAAGCAGTAGTTGAGCAGACTGTGGAGATTCAGCCACTGGATGAATCCAGTGAAACTGGTCTGGGATGCATGGTTACTGTCACTGCCTCAGGACTCAGGGATGCCCACTCTCAAGTAGACAGCCATTCACTCACCTGTTGTGGCCTGTTGGGAGATGGAACAGCCCCTCTGCTCTGCTCAAGCCTTCCTCTAGCCCCGTGCAGTGCAGAAAAGCCCTTCCCTGTGGGCTGCCTGCTGGGTGGTGTGCTGCTTTGGACTGCCGGAAGGACATGGCTGGATGGGGGTAGGATGATAGAATTAGAGTGGCTGTCAGGCCTGAGACTTGTTAATGGAGGGGAGCTGGGTGCCCAGAGGCCACCAGCTGAGCTCTCTGAGGGCTGCCAGGGGTCCTGGACAAGGTGGTTGCCAAAGATAACTTTCACTGCTACCCCCCTCTGCCTCACACACTGGGTACCCACAAGCCAGGAGCAGTGGCCCAGAGGAGTTTGTTCCCAGCATATTACAGGAGTCCCATTCTCACTTGGGATCGGTCATTCATCTCTTTTTTCCATTCCTCTCTGGATGCCACAAGCATCTCATGGTGCTTCCACTATCTTTGCAACCCCTGTGTCAATGAGTCAAATCACACACGATTCCTGCCTTCATGGAGTTCAGTGTAAGGGGGAGGCGGCTTGAAGCAGCCAATCATGATGTAGTGGACACTGTGCTGATACAGGCAGAGAAGCACTCCCTGCTTGGTCTGAGAGGTCGGGGAAGGCTCCCACAGGAAGTGGAATCTGAACTGTGGCTTAAAGGATAGACAGGAAGTAGCCAGGCAAACAGAAAGGGGTTGAAAGAAAGGCCAAGGCCAACAGCCGTCCCACACTAGACCCTGGGCTTGGCCCTGGGGTCACAGAGGCAACAAGGCCTTCTGGACACCCAGGCCAGTGGAGGAGACAGGCACATCTTCAGGCCATTACAGCTCAATGTATGATGGGAGCATGGTGGGCTGGGGAGCACACAGCTGGGAGTAGGAAAGCAGTGGTCAGGGAAAGTCCCAGAGGAGGTGACAGCTGAGAGGGGCCTTAAAGGACTAATTAGGGCAGATGTGGAGAAAAGGATAAGAGCTTTTCGGTAAGCAGGAGCCACATGGACAAAGGCCAGGGTGAGAAAAGCCTGGCTGGGAGGGAGTTTCTGAGGTGAGAGAGGGGCTGTCTGCAAAGACTTCAGCGTGGCTGGAGTGTGAGATGCGGCTGGGAGAGAAGAGAGCCAGGAGAACCCGGCAGGGAGACTTGATGTGACCCTGACAGGCCTCTGTGAGTCCTTGCTGGGAGAGGTGTGACCAGGCTGACATCCCTCCCCAAAGGGCAGAGGCTCTCACTGGCTCAGAGATCTCTGATCCTGCCTCTTTTCCATGGGAACCTTATCTGTATTCTAGAACCGCAGCCAGAGGGTGAAGCCCAGCCTGCAGATGTGTTTTGTTTGGCCTGTACAATGTTTGAAAAACTTCAGAGTCAGTTGCCAATAACTGCCAAAGATTATAAGATTTCACAGAAAAATCCATGTTTCTGGCTGTTCTTAACAAAAACAACAAGAAAAGGAAGGGCCCTGGAAACACTGGGCACCCGTTTATTCCTGCACTGCGTGGATCCCTGGAATATGCTGCAGCTGCTCCCTCTAGATGTTACATTTCCTAGTTTACCCCAGTCTTCAGCCCATCCTGTTACCTGAAGTCAAGGATCAAATGGCCATTTGTCACTGTCTGCACTGTGGGTTCCTTTAGAGCTGTGGGTCCCAAAGCAGAGACAGCAGCAGCAGCAGCATCACAGGGAACCTCTTAGAAATACAAATTCTCTGGCCACACCCCTGGCCTACTGAATCAGACACTCCGGGAGTGGGGCCAGCTATCTGTGTTTCAATAAGCCTTCCAGGTGGTTCTGATGCAACTAAAGCTTAAGAATCACTGCTCTGGAGTAAAGAAACACACAGTGTTCCTGTATCTCTACAAAAAAAAAAAAAAAAAAAAGGAAAAACTGTAAAATTAGGTGTAGAGGGCCATGGGCATGTAGAGGGCCAGTTTGGCCCATCACCCGAGTCCTGTGGACATTGCAATCCATGCCCAGAACCACCTGAAATAGCTCTGTGCTCTCTCCCCAGGTGGAGGGGTGGAGGGACTCAGTTCTGGGCGGCTCTGCATCACTAGGCTCACATTTCCAGTCTGATCTAATCAGATGTTATGGGACCACAAACAGCAGGCGCTATTTTGGTAGAGATATATAAAGTCTGGGCTCAGCTGAGCAGACACAGGGCTATTCTCCATTGCTTCCTTGCATGCCTTTGTCCATAAAAATGTGCGATCAGGCCCAGCGAGGAAGCAGCAGCATTTGTTGAATATAGCACATATGTGCTTTGGCAGGATGGGAGCTCTTGAGAAAGGGAAGGTGCTCTGACTTCAGATAGTGTTTTCTCACTCCTGAGCAAGGGAGTCCCTCAGAATGATTTGGTTCTTTGTCTCGAAGTCCCCCCAGCCTGAGCAGGTTTTGTGGGAGAAGACTGAGCCTCGGCCAGGAATCACAGCCGTGAGCCTGGCTCTGCGGGGGTGGCAGAGGGGCCATGTGTCATCCCCGTGTCCAGGTCAGGTTTTTCCTGGAGGAGATGGCTTTGTTCACTCCGGGAACTGGCACCTCCCCCTGTGGCTGAAGCCTCAACTTCATATCCAGCGTTGAACTTAGGATGACCCCTCCACAGGGCCTGCCTTCTGCTCCCAGCCCTCCGCCCCTC